TATGTATTAAGGAATTGTTAGTCTGCTTGATAGTTTCATCGTTTGACAAACTGTATTCACAGTTCTATTTCATAGTGATTATTTGTATCTGATAAAAGGTAGTTAACAGCCTGAAACCATAATGGAATGCTATTTCGTGTTTATTCATGAATGAATGCACACATTAACGAATGATTGCGAAACTGAATAATAAACACGTTATGACTATTAACAGCTCGTACATGATGAGCAGGCGCTTTCGAAGGAAATACAGTAATTTTCGTATACTATTATCATCATATATCGTAGAACAGAGAATAAACTGACAGTCAACTCAACTCAACCTCAACTTCATCCACTTTGAAAAGGCCTTCGACAGCATCGACTGACAAGTAATTTGACAGGCAACTGCTTCAACACTACAAAATACCACAAATCTTTATCAACCTCATTCAACAGCTAGATATATGAAGACGCCACATGCCAAGTAATTCACAATGAGAAGCTCAGTGATGCCTTTCAAATGAAGTGGAGATAGGAGTAGGACAAGGCTGCCACCTACGCTGGCTCGATACTGACACTGAGGCTCAGATTGCCAGAATAATAAGAATGAGCAACAACGGACTCACTCTGGCTGACTGGCTGGCTGGCTGCCTAGCAACGAATCAACAAGGCAAGAACATGTTGCTCAACAAATATGCCTGAGGAAGTGGAGATGGAGATGGATTGGGCATGCTTTGAGAAGGAAAACGGTTTATGGACATCACATGACAGGCCAGCTACTCGAGTGGAACTCAGATGGGAAAGGGGGAGTTGGGCGAGGGTTTCCGAGTGTGACATGGTTAAGATGGTGTGAGGAGGAAATGAGAGTTTGTGGGTAGTGGTGGAGGCAGGTTGAAAAGGTTGCAGAGAAGTGGAGAGTGTAGTGGAGGCGTGCTAGTGAAGGTGTACGTTCCACTAGGAACCCAAGGGACAAATAATAGTTGTTATTGTCATAATATGCTTTACGCATTATGTCGTGTTTTTACCTATTTCTACCTATTCGATTAAAGTTTATCTGAATTCAAATTTGCTGTAATTCAGCCTCATTGAATTGTAGAGTACGTTTTGTTCTTCCTTATCTCTGAATTAGTGAAAGTTTAGTGTTACTCACTAACAAGTGTTTGTTCACTTCTCATTTTAGCTTGTAATGTTTCAGTTATAAATGTTTGGTTTTATACTAATCCTTAAATTCAGTCGAAATACGATCACCTTGTTAAAAAACCTACTTTTAATGGTATTCTTCAATTTATCTATTCATATTTTTAACCGAAGTTAATTCCTAATTATGTAAAACAGATTAACTGCAGCGAGTACAACAAGTATTCCCATCATGGTCCTATTAAAACAGTTTGCTTTAATTAGGTTGTGAAATATAATTCAGAATTCTTTTAAACACTATTGAGCCTCAGTGATTCGTTACTTTGGACAAAATTCAATTAGTAGGCACTGTATTGTAATCGAACAAACCTTGGCAGAAATATTACAAAAAGCATGTATTTTATTGACTCCGAAGCTAAAATGATCATAAAGAAATTTGAGAAGGATAACTACCTACATGGTGCATATCACTAACTTAATATCAAGTACTACTGACTGATATGCTATCCAGTAGTATATTTCATCACACTAATGCTGTGACATACGCGTGTATTAACAGAATGATTGATCTATATCAACACACGCACATACACACATTCAATAATGTTGACTTTATATTTGTCTATCATGATACAAACAATTCATACTGTTTACATATTTTTCGCTAGGTTTTCAAAAGAAAAAAACTCTTTTTTTCTATTCAGAAATTTATAAACTTAAAGTATATTGTTCTAATATTGATTTTCAAACTATTTTTTATATCTTGATCCTCCCGCGTGTACATAATATCAATCAAAAGTTGCTTTTCTCTAGTTAATTAGATGACATTTACGTTTTTCTCTGCGCATCTTCAGTAGTATGGTAATTAGGCTCATTCTTATCGCTGTTTGTCAATAATCTAACTACTTATGATGAAGTTATCATATATGAGATGTCCTGATCTCCTAAGAATAATTAAATGGTATGAATTTCGAATTAGTTTTGTATATTTCTCGAAAAAGACCTAGAAGAAGATGTGAGATATGACCCAGTGTATTTCAGCTAATTACTGTACTCGGTTTCAACGTTAATCTACTTAGAAGTCATTTTACAGCACTATTTGCAACTACTTTTTCAAGTTCCTCAGGGACATACTGATTATTTTTACTGCTGATTTGTCGCAAAGTCCTACAATGGCTAAGTCTTGACTGCAGTGCTGAGTAAGGCAGATTAGAATCTCAGATGAAGCATCAGTCCCCTTGAGATTTCACGTAAGCCCTACTGATGAGTGCCAAAAATCCCGAAGACTAGGTTCACGTCTTTCTTTGAATTGCTTCCATCGAAGTAGCAGCCGTAAAACTATGTCGGCGACTTTGCAACCAAAACGACTGTCTTGTATTTTTGCAATTTATTACATGTGTGGATATGCCATCCAGTTTTACACAATCATTAGCTGTAAACCTAAATAAGGGGGAATAATGACTATTAGTTGAAGGGTTTTAACTATTTCACTTTGTGTTCAGAATACTTGATGACTGACTAGGGATAATAGGCATAGTTAGGTGCATAGAGATTCAGATAGTAAGGCATGCACATGGTTACATTCACATGATTGTGTCAGTTCAGCTATATTTATCGATCACACGAAGCTAGTATATTAGTGTACTCACTATTGTAACCGTTCCCTGAACAATTTTAGTTTCAGTTGTGTGTAATGGAACATTACTTTTTGTTAGTTTACCAATGTACCTTTCTGATGGGCATATTTCAATATAAGTATTCAGTACCGTCGAAGCATACGATATATTCAAAGATGCTTCAAAATATTGTTCCCTATTAAAATATTTAGTTTCGACAACAATATCCTTGTCCGTCTTGTATGTTTGACTATATTGTTTTTAAAGTTATTTTTATACAAAACCGATTTTATTCTCAATTTGTGATAAGGAATCAAACCGCACTGATCAATTCCATACTGTTATCAGTAAACTAAATAAAGAGATAATGTAGCACATGTTGTTTGTTATTTGTTTACATTGAGCATAGAAATCAGATCTAAAGCAGCCAACCAAGTGACTCTAAACATTTGATGCTGAACCCAGCCTGTTATAATGTTGTGTTACGTAACTTCGAAACCATGTTGTAAACCTTACCAATAGACTTCGTTGGGCCGAGAAGTATATTCATTATGGTGATATAATACACATTCACGCATAATTCAGTCCTGTATTGAGTCACTTATGAACTTGATTAAGTGAATGATGAAACATCTAACCCTAGAACTGTATGATAAATGTTCCATGAGAATATAAATTTTGGCACTGAAAGTTATACCAAGCAATACTGCATGTATTCGAGACGAAACTAAACACTTATGAGTATTTATTGTCGATAACTATCGCTCTCTGTCATAAATCATTATGATGATAAACTGACACGAGAGACGAATCAAATGAATGCACTTATTATTCGACAAGACATTGTATTGGTGAAATCTATGTGATAATTGTTCGACAGTGTCAAACAACACAGTGCGAAAGGGTTCACAAAACGAAATGAAATCAAATAAGAAATGAAACAGACCACATAAGCAATGCGAAACAATGCTAACTATAGTACTAATAATATTTATTATTATTATTTATCCCTTTGGTTTCCTAGTGGAACATTGGGCTCCAGTAGCACGTCGTCCTTTCACTCTGTCCCCTGAGATCTTCTCAACCTGGCTCCACAACTGCTCATAAGCTTTCATTTCTTCCTCACATGAACTCCTCCATGTCACCCTAGGACGCTTAACTTGTTGCTTCCCATTTGGGTGTCACTCGAGGAGCTGGCCTGGTGCGTGATGTCCTCGAACGGTCTTCTCAGTGTATGCTCAATCCAATCGAATCCATCTCCCCTTTCTTCTTCTGCATATTTGCTGGACGATAGATTCCTGGTACATGCTAGTAATTCTCTTTCATTAATTTTGGTCTGAGACACTGTATGTTTCATACCATTAGTATCTATCGACGACTGAAACCCTGACTCTGAATGCAATAACTTCTCTCAGTTAACGAAGTCAAACTTTGGATTAAGATCTATTGTTCTGTATAATGTATGTGGTGAATCTGACAGTTGGTTAATATTATCAGTTAGAATTTTCAAAATAATCTTGGTTGGTAGACTGGCATTTTTTCATAAAACTGTTTGTTATACTAAAATGTTGACATGATACAGCACACTGTCTCATGTCCTAGTTGATACCTGACTTTAAAGGCCATCCTAGCAGCTAACAAAATAACCAATCAGGTGTCAGCATTTCGGCTATGAAGACAATTTTTCATAGAATTGAGAAATCTGATTGGTTATTTTCAGTTGTTGCTAGGATGGCCTTTAAAGTCACTCAAAAAAACGGTTAAACTTCAGAGAAAAACGTTATTATACAACTTGATCTGATTGCACATGATGAACAATTTTTTGATAAACCCTCAAAACAAGAATTAAAGAAAATGAACGTATGATGCATGTCGACAGAAAGGTGGTCATTTTATTTTGAATCAATACTGCAAAGTCATCATACTTTTTATACTTCAGGACTATTACCGTGGTGTTGTAGAAGTTGTCCTGTCCAGTGTTCAACTTAATGCTAACCATCTCAGTGTGTTTGAAGATTTCATCATCTCTAAATACCTTAGCTAGTGAGAATATCACCAAGCGTACTTCTAACGCATTATTACTACCTTTTAACAAAAAACTTTAAGTGTCTGATTAATACTTTCATAAGTATTTAGATCATTATGTTGAATGTTCACAATTTATTTTTCTAATTAAATTCTGACAAATATCTGAACAAATTTCCATCTATTAATCTTTACAATTTATTCCCCTCCCCTCTCCCTTCAATTTATTTTCTTCAATAGCATGTTGTTCAATGTGTTGTAGTCGCTGTTAAGAGTATCGGTAAAATAATGATGGTTACATTTCTACTGGAGTTTATGTTTGCTGTTATTGGTGTACAATTATTTGCTGGAAAATTTCATTCATGTACAGATAGTTCACGCCTTGTACCAAGTCAATGTCAGTAAGTGAAATATTAAATGAAAAAGAAATTAAAGTTAAATTATTATTATTATTATTTTAGTCCCTTGGGTTCCTAGTGGAACATAGGGCTTCAGTAGCACGCCTCCAGTGACCTCTGTTCTCTGAGATCTTTTGAACCTGGTCCCACGACAGCCCAGAAGCTCTCATTTCCTGCTCGCACGACCTCCTCCATGTCACCCTCGGACGTCCAACTCGTCGCTTCCCATGGGGATTCCACTCGAGCAACTGGCCTGACGCGTGATGTCCTCAGTCGGCCTTCTCAGTGCATGGCCAATCCATCTCCACTTCCTCCTGCATATTTGTTGCATGATAGGTTGTTGGTTGGTAAAGTTAAATTATAGAAACCTATAAATATTTGAAATGAATAACTGATAGGATCTAAATAGATCTGAAATTCATCTTCCTTGTTAACTTATATTCAAAACAAGTACTTTTTATAAGTACTATTGATCCTTCAAGATAACGAATTTTGAAAGATATGAGCTAAGTTAAAAAAAAGTGATCAGTCATCTAAGGAACACATAAGTTCTAATTTTTATTGGTTCTTAGAATAGTTTGATATCTTGACTTATTTGTTTTATCTTACATCATTGGAACTATTTATCTCTGAGATCAAGACAATAGTCATTACAGATTGTAACAATATCTTTCAATCGATCAGTGAAAAACTTTTACAATTTTTACTATATATATATATATATATGCCAAAAAAGACCTAAACATTTACCTGTGCAATTCATCTGAGTTAGTCACGATTAAGTTTAAATGGATTCTTCTGGCTCATTGGTTTAGGCACTAAATTTTCAGTGATTTGATCTTGGATTTGAACTTCGTTCCATTTGTTTACGTCATGGAGACCATGTGTTATAATAAGCCATCAAGCAATAGGTATGATGCATAGTCTAATGTACAAACCTGAATGTGAGTTGAAGCATCTTTTTGACTGTATAATATCAATTTGTAATTCAATAACATAAATAGGTCGATAGAGTCATGATAACGCTGAAATCTAGGGAGATATATTATTATTTGTCCCTTTGAGTTCCTAGTGGAACATATAGCTTCAGTAGTACACCTCCATTCCACTCTGTTCTCTGCAATCTTTTCAACCTGCCTCCATGACTGCCCACAAGCTTTCATTTCTTCATCACACCATCTCCTCCATGTCACTCTCGGACACCCAATTCGTTGTTTCCCATTTGAGTACCACTCGCGTGCCTGGTGCGCGATGTCCCCGAACGGTCTTCTCAGTGTATGTCCAATCCAATCCATCTCCACTTTCCTCTGCATATTTGTTAGGCGATGGCTTCATGGTTGTTTAGTTGTTGGAGTTCCTTGTTGCTTATTCCTTCTGGCCGTCTGATCTTCAGTATCGAGCTAGCGTAGGCAGTTGTTGATGAATATCTGTAGTTTCAAATTGTTATTCGTCGTAGACTGACATCGGTTGGAGGAACAAACGAAACCTGGGAGCACTAAACAGCTGTTTCGTCCTAGTATGGGACTACTCAGCAGTGCGCACCCACGACCCCACACCACCAAGGAATGAAACCAGCGACTTTCAGGTTCCGTGGCCAGCACCTTGCCACTGGGCCACTGGGTCAGAATTCAATGGTCCATATTTCCAACTTCTTTTAGCTCACGATATAACGCAACCGCCACCCGATGTCATCACTGAGTAACTGTCCTCCTGTAGTTTGTTGGAAATGCTTTTCGTGACGCGACACGTTTCTAAACCATATAGAAGCAATGAATTGATATTAGCATTGAAAATTTAGATTTTGTTCTCACTTTCCGCTGAGTACAGTGCGGTGCAGTAGATCTCTACACCGGTTTCAGATTAATGAAGGAGGCCCTGTCTTATCTTACTGTTTTTCCGATCTTGGTTTTGACATCCTCGTCTGTGCCATATGTAGCTGACGCGATGATACCCAGGAGGGTAGGTGAAAGAGACTACTTCCTTTTGATTTCTCTTGTTGATGGTGATTGGTGCTTGTTGTTTTGGTTGTGTTTCATTTGGTATTTTCATCACCTGTGTCTTCTCTACATTCACTTGAAGTTTTATCTTCGCTGCCTCTTCCGTCAACTTGTTGGTTTTTTCCTGTAAATCATCGAGTTTGTGCGACAATTGACATTCGACATAAATCATCATCGGTGAAATGCAAATCTTCTTCTGAGGTCTTTTCATCGGTCCAGCCAGCGTATGGCCCGCTTCTTGCTGCTTACAGGAAGATATATTACTAGACAGATAAAGTGTCATATATTTTCGTGTACGGTTCTGATGGTTTAGGCTGTAATACCACAACTCTACAATCTAGAATAAAATATCGACTAACATTTAGGTAAATTTCAGTCTTTGGAAGTATGAACTCAGAGAAAACAGGCAAATACATCTATTGATTCTACTTGATTTGTACATTATGTCTTTACTCTTTTTCTGATGATGATGTGTTGGAAATAAACTTACTATAAGCTGCAGGTCAAGGTAAGTATTTAAAGGAATCTATTGCACTGATTACTCATATCCGCTTTATCATGAGGTGATTGGCTAAGCATTTATGAGAATGAAGAAGTAGTGAATGCCTGTATTCGTAAGGAATAGTGTATGTAGACACTTTTCAAGTAATTTAAACATCCTAATAGATTATTCAGAAGAAGAATAAGTTGAGCAAATAATTGGTCTCAATATCTTCTTCCGATTCTGTGGTTATAAATCTTTGATAATAAGTGGAATAGGATAGCCAATCTAGGAGACAGTGTTGAGTTACTTCAATATCGATATAGTCGGTGTTATAGATGAATGGAGATCAAATGAATTTTTCTTTTTTTTTATCAAGTAGAACAGTAATCACGATATACCGCGACCGACATCAAATGTCATCGTTGAATAATTGTCTTCATATTCAACTTGGTTGACTTCAGTGGTCACAATTTCTCATTGTAACTTCGATAATCAAGTAGTCATCAATGAGTCGTAGATTAATTCAATTTGAAGGTCAAGGGTTAGATACCTGACGGGGTCGTAGATGCACACTGTTGAGGAGTCCTAAATTAGGACAAAACATCTGTTCACTGCTTCTAGGTTTCCAATTTTCCTCCAATTAATGTCAGTCCACAATGAAGCCCAACCTAAAATCAGTTAATCAATCTCCACAAACTTCCAAATATAAAGAATGGTAATCAGTTCAGTCTGTTCGTTGTACAATAAAATGAATATGTACAGAACTAAATAAGGAGATAAAGTTCAGAGATAATGATTCATTCATGTCTTGGAGTGGAAACCCAGTGGTCGCTAGTTTCAATTCTACTGCGGCCCAGATTTTCATTTCACCTTCAGTCACTATCCAGTATCATCTATACTCATATCTCTAGAGTATGAATGTGTGTATGTTTGTTTACTAAGGGAGAAATAAGCGTCTGCGGCCTGCTTAAACTTTGGGCTACCAAATTTATCCGTCAAACATTTTTCATCAATTCTATCCTTCCATGTACTCTTGCACATTTTAAAACTGTTTTCAACTCTTCCTTTCTCGAGTCAATAACAAAGCAAAGTAAAAATGTTACGTTATATAAAAATGAACTTTTCAATGAACAAAAGAATATCATATTTTTATCCGTCAGATGCTTAGCTTGGGTTACAGTTTTTTACCGTCTTAATGAACCACCACCATCAAAATTACGCTTGTAGTTCTGTTGATTTTCTTTTATGGACCAAATGCCTATCCAGAACCAGCGGGCTATTTCATAATATTGCCTTGAATACTGTTATTATTAACATCATGCGGATGCAATAACCATTTCGTTTAAAAGTGCTATTTTTAGGAGTGAATTTGTTGGGAAATTACATGTTGAGAATCCCATAATGTCAAACATATTATTTGGAATAAAGCGACTATTACTACTATTACCATTACTATCATTGTTATTATTATTATTATTATGTAGCGATGAGTTCTAATCTAGTAGGGTGAGAAACCATGTGAATACAATAATGGATAAAAAATGTGGAGTGTTACGTAATGGTTGAGAATGACTACTGGTAATGGTATCATATCAGACAATTAAGAATTCCCATTTCATATATTAAAAGAATATTCGTTTCAATAACTTCTCATCAGTTTCTACAATTATAAAATCAATTTCGTTAAAATATTAATGGCCAGAATTTACGACGAAGGCATTTAGGAATGGATATGAAATTGTAATTATAATTTGACTCTTAAGATTGTAGATGATAGTGTAATTTATGTATGGACCTCGTAGCTCAGTTGGTAGAGCATTGGTTCAGAAACACGGTGGTCGCTGACTCGAATCCGGTCATGGTCCAAGTTTTTATTTCACCTTCGATTATGTATGTATGTATGTATGTATGTGTGTATGTATGTGTTGCAAGGCCCTAGTTTTCCATAAGACATTGTTATTGATCTGAACATTCACTGTGATATATTTCGAACGAATATAATACGCACACTTAACTGACAACGTAATACGCAAGAGCCACTGACTTCAACTCCGGGACGAATAGAGAGAAGACCGAAGCTGGATTATGGGAGAGTTTATTCCCCCGAGAGTATAATAGTAATAATAAATCCTAAGACACGTGAATATGTACACACATAAAAAATGATCTTGTCCCCAATATGACAGTGAAGATTTACCAGTCAGCGAATTATATCACAATGGGAACAGAAAATAAACTACTAGTCATACCGTAAAAATGGTGTGAGAATGCCAAGTTAAAAATATTTAGATCAATAACAATGTTTTATGCAAAACTAAGGTCTCACAACAATGTCAATGTATGTCAACCGTGGTGATAAGTTGAGTGTAAACTTTATCAATGGATTGGTGATCAGACATATGGGAAAGAAAATTCTTGATAAAGGTCAAGGTTACAAATTAGTACGTAGAATGATGACACAAATTTACATAAGGCCAGAAATGGAGTGGTCATGTCACTATAAAGTGGTTAATAAATGAAACGAATAGGATAATGAGAGTAGTAATAATGTGGTTCCCAGTAAAATAATATGCACATCAGGAAGTACTCATTTTGGAGTAACATCAGTTGGAGAACCATTAGAAATTTGGAAGCACTGGACAGCTGTTTCATCTTAGTATGGGACTCCTCAGCAGTAAGCACTGACTGCCCAACTAGAGATTGAAACTGTGAACCAGTGAACTCCGACCCAGTGACTGGATAGTTAAGGAGTTCGTCGTGAAACCTGTGGGTCCTGTGCTCGATCCCTAGCAGGGTCGAGGGTGCGTACTCCTGAGGAATCATATACTAAGACGAAACAGCTGTCCAATGCCTCCAGGTTTTTAATGGCTTTCTAGTTCGTGATGAATACTACTTAAAGATTAAAATCCCCAATAACCTCAAAATTCAATACATACATCAGGTTGACTCTCTTAAATATGAGTAACTTATATGTAGCTTTTCATTGATTTTATATCCATCTTTCTTTGTATAATGGTTCTCTTTTGTGTTTTATTTTTGTCTCATAAATAATATTCTACTCAGTGGTCAGTATATCACATACGAATTAGGTGATATTAACCGGCCTGTGGTCTTAGCACGTGTATGGTTAAATAATCCATTGAATTTTGACAATGTACCTAATGCTATGCTTACACTATTCGCTGTATCAACATTTGAAGGCTGGCCAGGTTTATTATACAGGTGAGTCAGAATAACTGTTTGATAATTGCTATTAACTAGTACGATTTAGCCTTTTATTCCCTTCTGGTTGATTTAATTATTGAAGGAGATATTAAAAGGGAAGCATTCATGAACGATGAGGAACAAGCTAGATATACAGCATAATGTATGGCAAAATCTCAAGTATATCTTGTTCATTATCACCAACAAGAAATTTTATTATTCAGTTATTACAACTCCCATTTCATGTTTTGATCTATATGAGCAGAATTATCAAAATTAATATGGACGCCTTGGATCTGTTCACAAAATCAGGTATTACTTGATGAAGCTAAACATTTATACGAGCTGAAAGCCTGGTTTCGAATGGCTGTGAAAAAAAGATATTTCTTTTGCTGAATGTATTGTCTTTGATTTTAGAGATTTGAAAGTTTGATTCGCTTAATTATTTTACTAAGAGAATCTAATAACTTATAAGCTGACACTATATCCAAAGATGTGAGGAGCGAGAAGAGGGGCATACGCTGGACCGAGGAAATATCCTAAAAGAATTGGATTTCCCCGATGACTTCCGTCTAATGTCACACAGACTTGAAGATCTGCAGGCAAAAACCAACAAGTTGACAGAAGAGGCAAGGCAGCGAAGACGGGACTTCAAGTGAACATAGAGAAGACAGAGATGATGATGATACCCAACCAACACCACCAACAACAACAACAACAAGTTCCAATCAACATGAACGGAAGAAACTTAAAGGAAGCAGTCTCTTTCACCCACCCACCTGGGCAGCATCGTTTCAACAACAGGATGTCAAATCCAGCCACAATCAGAAAGACAACAAGACAGGCGTTCATTAATCTGAAACCCGTGTGGATACCCACTTCACTGCACTGTACTCAGCATAAAAAGTGAACAACATCCGGACTTTCATCACCAATCCAGTCAAGTCAGTGATTCTATGTGATGAATGAAAGAGTTGGTGCGTTACGAAAATCATTTCCAACGAACTACAGGTATTCATCAACAACTGCTGTCTACGTTGGCTCGATACTGACACTGAGGCTCAGATGGCCAGAATAATAAGAATGAGCAACAAGGAACTCACTCTGACTGGCCGGCTGGCTGGCTGGCTGCCTAGCAACGAATCAACAAAGCAAGAACCTGTCGCTCAACAAATATGCCTGAGGAAGTGGAGATGGAGGTGGATTGGGCATGCACTGAGAAGGAAAACAGTTTATGGACATCACATGACAGGCCAGCTACTCGAGTGGAACTCAGATGGGAAACGACGAGTTGGGAGTCCGAGGTGAGGGTGACATGGAGGAGATGATGTGAGGAAGAAATGAGAGTTTGTGGGCAGTGTTGGAGGCAGGTTGAAAAGGTTGCAGAGAAGTGGAGAGTGTAGTGGAGGCGTGCTACTGAATGTGTATGTTCCAGTAGGAACCCGAGGGACAAATAGTACTAATAAATAATGATCTCCAAATATATGTTTATCAACTACCTCCACCTCTATTCCTTTTTTTAGTGTCTTTTTTATTTCATGACTTCCTATTCAGTTAATTCTTGTCTGATGACTTCATATAACCTCCAGAACAGTTAGACGGTATTTATGAGAATATATAGGTGAAAATGATAGAGCACAGAAAACTCAAGAACATTAGATAGCTATTTTGTCCTAGATCGAGGCTCTTCAGCAGTGCACACCAATGATTGAATGAAAAATCAGGCCCAGGACTTTGAAACTTCACAGTGAGTGAGAAGCGATTCATTCACTAGATTGGAATCTACTGGATCACATTAACCTATTTATGTTAATTCGCTATATGATATGACTATCAGTTAGTGTCAGTCGCTTCACTTCCAACTTGTTTGTTCCTACAGGTCAAGCCTTTTCACTAAAAGTACAAAGAATCGAGCTCAAACTAAGTTTTTTTTAATAAGTGCAAGATACTAGTTCAATTGTTGTTTTGTAGAAACTTATTCGATAAAATGTGATTTTCATCATGGATTGAAATCAAATGAAGAAAGAATAAGGCATGATCATTCTAGCCTTGAACTCTCATGGAGTCGTACGTGTGCAGTGTTGAACAGTCTTAAGACGACAAAAAAACAACTTCTTAGTTACTCTAAATATTCAGTGATTCTCCATATGCTATGTAAATCATCTTTGAACTAATAAATCATTTACAAAGAAAAGATTAAAGATACTGTCGTAGATACATTCAGTTACTCATTTCATACAGTTAGATTTAATCTAAATCAAACTGAAATGGAATTAGATATTTGATAACTGAGTAGTTAGTTGTTGAACTTCAGTAATTATTTCGATGCAGTTCTACGGTAGAATTCTCTTAGAAATTTTAAACTGCATTAAACTATTTGTTTTCTCTGTTTATCCATCTCTTGTTTTTGTGTGAGATCGATATGGGCAACTTACTCATTCTAAGCCAACTGATTGAACTTTCTATTTCAATTTTGTGTTCATTATGAACTGACATTAGTTGGAGGAACGTTGAAAACCTGGAAGTACTGAATGGCTGTATCATCCTAGTATGGGGGTCCTCACAAGTGCATACCCAAAACCCCGTCAAGGATTGGACTCAGGTTCAGGTGCCAGCACTTTACCATTGAGCCACTGGGTGGCCATGAGAAGAAGTACTCAATGATGACATCGGGTGATGGTCCCACTATGTTGTGAGCTGACAGAACTTGAAAATATAAGCCACTGGATTTTGACCCATTGGATCAATGGTAACATGCTGGCAACGAGCCTGACAGGGTAGTGGGTATGCACTCCTGAAAAGTCCCATACTAGGATGATGCAGCTGACTATTGCTCTCAGCTTTCCAATGTTCCTCCAACTGATGTCGGTTCATGATGAATACCACATTGAAAAATCACTAAATGCCCACAAACCCTGAAATTAAATTGAACTTGTTATATTCATACTGTTTTTATATCAATGCTTATCCTAAGCATAACCGTGTAGCAGATCATCTTTCTTTGAATGTAGAAAAGAATTCTAATGAATTCAGTAATAATCACCTTTGTGTTAATGTAGAATTTACCATTTTTTGACTTACCGGTTATTTATTAATCACAGTTCTGTTTGTTGGTATCTACGTTTTTTAATAACTATTACATGGAGGAAACTGATGATCTATTTCATAGATAGCGTTATCACTTAGGTTAAGTACTAGACGTTATATTCATCTTAATGACTAGTAGTGGGATCCAAGACGTCATTTCGTCTTGTTTGGGACTCTTCAGGTGGACGTACCTGCATCTCAGTGATGTTTCTCCCACTGAGGCTGCGACCTAGTGGCCATCGCTTCAAACGCCAAAGCGTTATCCTCGAGATGGAGTCATTTGCTCTTGTATAGCAACGGGAAAATGAAAGTGTCAATAAACAACGACTAATACCCATTGTACAAGAGATAGCTATCGTGCTGCAGGTGCCTAGTTGATAAGGCTTTGGTATTTGAAGCAATGGGTAATGAGTTCTAGTTGCTGTGGGAACAACACCACTCACTGGAAGGCAGGCACATCCACTTGAGGAGTCCTAAATAGAGCGAAACGCGCATCCTGGATTCCACCGTTAGTTACCAAGATGACTATAACATCATAAATATTTGATGGCATCGAGGTATCTTTATAAGAGCTCATCTGCCAACAGACGTTGATCGATTCGGCCCCAGATATCAGCAGTAAATTACAAGTATAACTAAGAACTAAGATAAATCTTTCTTTTCAGTACTTCAAAATAATTGCTTAAATTTATTCACCAATTAGATGAAGAGTGAGTTTTTCATTATGTTATTCTAAGATAATTTATACTCACCGTCAGACAGATTGATTCAAAACTCAGTCATCTTTTAGACCATTGGACAGTTGTTTAACAATTATCGTATTCTGCTGTTATTGCTTGTATTATGCCATCCCTGATTGGACCAAACTGATCGGTCTCTAGCTGACGAGCTCCCAACAGGATGAAATCCACATTGTGAATTCCACCGATAGCCACTATCCATCATTTACTATATAATTAAAAACACATGCAGTTTCAAGGCATCCGCACAAGAAACCATATGCCAATACAGACAGATCAATTCGGTCTAATCAGTGATGGTATAATACAAGCAATAATGTTGAAACTATACCCGTCACACAAGAAGTGACTATCGTGTCTCGATGGTTTGGTGGATAACGCTCTGGCGTTTGAAGTCATCGGTTTCGAGTTTGAATTCCAGTGGGACAACACCACTCACTGAGAGCCAAGTATATCCAGCTGACCAGTCAGTCCCAAATAGGACGAAATTCTCATTCTGGATTCCACTGCTACCCATTATCCACTATCGCTCTATAGGCAAACGAGAAGGAATGATACAACAATTTATGATCACTATAGTCATTATTTGGTTGTCATATTATATTATAATATTATATGTCTCTTGGGTTCCTAGTGGAACATACACCTTCAGTAGCACGCCTCCATTACACTCTCCACTTCTCTGCAACCTTTTCAACCTGCCTCCACCACTACCCACAAACTCTCATTTCTTCCTCACATCATCTCCTCCATGTCACTCTCGGAAACCCTCGCCCAACTCGCCGTTTCCCATCTGGGTTCCACTCAAGCAGCTGGCCTGTTACGTGATGTCCATAAACTGTCTTCCTTCTCAGTGCATGCCCTACCCATCTCCATCTCCACTTCCTCAGGCATATTTGTTGAGCGACAGGTTCTTGCTTTGTTGGTTCGTTGCTAGGCAGTCAGCCAGCCAGCCAGCCGGCCAGTCAGAGTGAGTCCGTTGTTGCCCATTCTCATTATTCTGGCCATCTACACTTCAGTGTCAGTATCGGGCCAGCGTAGACAGCAGTTGTTGATGAATACCTGTAGTTCGTTGGAAACAGTAACATTAGTGCCTTACAGTTAAAGGCGTACGTAGTTACTACGATTACATTTATCAGATTAGATTGATTTCTATAAGGATTTCTTTGCCGTATATTTTCGCTATATTAA